ACATATGAGTATATTGTATTACATAGTAATACATAACACATATAGCAAATATAATGTTTTTATTGAGAACAAGGATTGAATGTACAGTAAACTGATGAATCGCCATTTGATGTTTTYAAACTCACCATGTGCCAGGTTTTCAAACTTCTGGGCCAGTTCTTTCATTGACAGCTTGCTCTCAGTATCATTCTCATGCTTCGAAAGCTCTCTTAATATCTTACAGCCAGCAAGAGCACTCAGTACAGATTCCCCTGCCTGACAAAGAAACACAAGATACCAAGAATAACTGAGTTAAAATCAAACTGGATAGAAGCTTTATGACCAGCAAGGTTTGTTGTGATGTGCTCATGAATTTAGCTGATTCCATCAGCGCTGATGGTGATTGTTTTAACCTTAAATAATGAAGTTGAGTGCATAACTGGTTTTTGAAGAGATCACAACTTTTTTTAATGTACAATGTAATGCCCACAACTCACCATCTCCCAGAAGTAAATAGCCATCTCCTTGCGGTTCTGTAAGACAGCCCAGATGAAGAGGGCTGCCCAGGGTCTGCTGCAGGGTTGGTCCCGGTACATACATTCTCCCTGCAGCAACGTTGTCACTTTCTGAGGTTCAGAACAGACAGAAACATAATCTAAGAGTTTGTTCACATCAAACAGAAGTCATCTTTGCTCACTTGTTTTTAATGTTGTGAAAAACTACATTTTGTTCTTTAAACATTCAACATCAACTATCAGATGCACAAAAGGCACTTTAGAAACTTAAGTGAATGTTCTCCTCTTACAAAAAACTGATCAATTTTTGTGATTTTGTTGAGTTTAAAATCTGGATACTGATACAAAATACAGGAATAAGGACACACTTGAAAAACCAATAGAACTAATTATTTGACCTATGATATTTTCTACAGTCTTAATTTTCTTATGTATGGACTGTACGGGTCGGTTAGTTACATGAGCCGTACGTTATGCCCTTACACTCTCAGAACTTRAAGTTATGAGGAAATGGACTTGACTGCAGTCTTGGATGAGCACTCATTCAGACATTTCATTCTGTAAAACAAACTCAGATCAAAAAAATGATACAATAATAAGTTCATTCCAAAGTGCAACTTGTTGGCTTTCAGGAACACTCAAAGAAATGAAGAGAAAACATTGTGGAAGTCAGTGAATGTTACTTTTATTGA